GGCTCGCGCCTGCCGCTCCTGCTCGCCGCGCTCTGCTGCCTGGGCTCGGCGCGCGGGCTCTTCCTCTTCGGCCAGCCCGACTTCTCGCACAAGCGCAGCAACTGCAAGCCGATCCCCGCCACCCTGCAGCTGTGCCACGGCATCGAGTACCAGAATATGCGGCTGCCTAACCTGCTGGGCCACGAGACCATGAAGGAGGTGCTGGAGCAGGCGGGCGCCTGGATCCCGCTGGTCATGAAGCAGTGCCACCCGGACACCAAGAAGTTCCTGTGCTCGCTCTTCGCCCCGGTCTGCCTCGACGACCTGGACGAGACCATCCAGCCGTGCCGCTCGCTCTGCGCGCAGGTGAAGGGTCGCTGCGCCCCGGTTATGTCCGCCTTTGGCTTCCCCTGGCCGGACATGCTCCAGTGCGACCGGTTCCCCCAGGACAACGACCTCTGCATCCCCCTCGCGAGCAGCGACCACCTCCTGCCGGCCACCGAGGAAGGTAAGCCTCCCCTCTTACCACTGCCCCACCCCGCGCCCCGGAGCGCCTGGGCTGGGGGTGCCCGTCCCGGGAGGGTAGGTGCCTTCTCTGATCTGTCATCCCGAGAAGCCTGTTTCAGATCTGAACACCACCCCGAGTCTCCCCATGTCCTTCCGACTTTTACCAGCTACTCGGAGGGACAATCCAGAGGGAGAACCGAGAGGCAGCTTTCTCTACAGTTGGACAATTGTCGTTGCCCTCTGCGAGTGGTGGAAGCCGGTTTGTACTGAGGGGTTGGTGGGCACCCTGGCGGAGGCGCCTCTCAGCCTCATTCCACACCTCGTTACCGCTGGGTAGGATTCTAGTCCCACAGCTCCCTGCAGGCAAGGTGACCCAGATGCATAAACACATCAACTTTCTAAAGGTCCTTTGCCTCCTGTGCCAATTTAGGTTTTGCAAATAAAACCAAGAGTGGTTTGGAGAGTGTGGGAAATCGAGTCAGGCTGCTGACTGCTGGGGTGTTTGAGGAAGAGGGCGTAAAGGGAATCTCCAGGAACCCTGTCACTATCAGCTTTTATCTTAGGAGTGGTTTCAATTAACTGGAGGAAAGCACGCAAGAAAAGTGTCCCAGGTTTTTAGAAAACAGAGGGGGGCGTTCCTGCGCAAAAACCATCAAAGCAATGAAAACCTCATGCTCTTGAGAAGTCTTCCTGAAAGAAAAACGTCTACATTGTGTCTGAGCTGATTCTCTGGGGCTGACGGAGAAGGGGTTTCCTGATCCCTTTCTGGGCTTCAGCATCTCTTTCAATCTCTGATTGTTTTCCTACAGACATCATTAGTTAAAGAAAAGGCGAAGTTGGTGAGCAGTCTTTCCTGGCAGGCGCTGGGAGTTTGCAATCATCTTATTGGCTAGATTTCTAATTTATTGCAAATGTTTGGCATTTTTCAAACATTTGCCCAACACACACTGTAGCCCAAGCAGTGCAGGTTAGTAACATTTTATATACGTTCTGAGACTCCTAATTGGAAACGTTTCATTTTGTTTGGGTGGGAGGAGCCAAGGGCGGGGGGTTGCTGGGTGGCTTTTGTTTTCCTTCCTTCCCACCGGGAGCACCCACTATCCCCTGTCCAAAGTCCTGTTCTCCTGCAACAGGCAGTTTGTGACATGTACTTGTTACTTCTTCAAGTTGATCAATAAGTCTAACAGTGTGAGTCTCAGAAGGTTTTGTTCTTTGAACTTTCAAATTGTATATTAGGGAGAACCTTCTCATTTCACCCCCGTTTTAAAGAGAACACAGACATGTCTCTCAAAGGCAGAAAGGAAACACGTTTTTGTTTTCCTTTTCCCATGAAATCCAAAGCTTTTAGAAGAGTCTTCAGCAGGCTCTGGAATAAGTGCTAATTCCTAGGTTTGGTCAGACCCCCTAGATGGTTTTGCTTCATCTTTGACTGTCTTCAGGAACAGGTGTGCGTGCGCGCGCGTGTGCGTGTGTGTGTGCTGAGTCTGAAACAGAGAGAAGCGAGAACTTGTAGCAGTGAGCTTGCCGATAACAGTGACATCAATGCCGCCTAACTCCAGCACAAGCTTGGGGAACATACAAGGGGGTGGCGAGTGAGAAAACAGCCAGAGGCCACAGTTAGTGTGATGTGTTCCCGAGACGGAGACAGCGCAGTGGGGTCCTGACAACAGCAGCCACCCCCCCCACCCCCACCCAGACAAAAGTCCCTTGAAACCCCCCCCCAGACACCGAGCTCTACAGAACACAGCCTGCTGGCATCCTGGGGCTGCCAAAGACCATCTTTTTTTGTTTTGTCTTTTTTTAGAGATTTTTGCTATAGAGCGCATGCACTCACTGGTGAGACAGAGACAGAAAGTGAGAAATCACACTCACCTCCCTTGGGGGGGAATGAACACGCCACAATCCCTCCTCCTCTCTTGTTCTTTCAGGATTTAGGGCACACATGTACACACGCCGGCATGAGTTTTAAGCCGCCTGTCCTGAACCCGGCTGTAGTCAACTACATGGGAGTCCAGCGACGTAACGATGACGCCATCTACTGGTCCCAAGAAAAAAACATCTTTTTCAGCAGTGTTTTATGGAGTGGCTATGGCACTGGACTTCAACGCGGCTGGCCACCATCCGAGTCCCCCACCTTGTGGCTGGAAACTCACACCAGGCACGTGTGCGTGCCCAAAATCCTGAGAGGAGAATGGAGGAAAAGGGATTGCAGCATGGCCATCCTCCCTGGGGGGTGATTTCTCACTGTCTCTCTCTGCCAATCGCACCTGCCCTATGGGGAAAAAAAGAAAGAAAAAAGAAAAAAGATATTAACAGTATTTTATCGTTACCAGTTTTCCCAACGCCCTCAAGAGTCTTTGGCTCTTGGGCACTTTCTGCTTACAGAGGCTTTGGCAATGACTTCTTCAGACTGAGTTTGTCCGAGAGCTGGGGAAGTTGCACCTTGTCCAGTGAACTCTAGGTCCACACACCTGTCCACTCTCCAAATCCTTTTTTTTCCCCAGAAAGAGGTTTTTTTCGCTACACGGCACATGCGCTTGCTGGAGAGACAGAGACAGAAAGACAGGAAGTGAAAAGTCACCCTCAGAGGAGATGGCCACACCACAGTCCCTTCTCCGCTCTCAGGATTTGGGGCACGCACACACATACGCCCGGCATGAGTTTCAAGTCAACGGGTCTGAGACTCTAAACGTGGTCGACTACATAGGAGTCCCATCCAACTCCTTTTTAATCTGAAGAGTCATCATTTAATATAATATTGGGTCCCTCTCATTGCCCAGCTGAAGATGGGGCGCACAGGGCACTCTCTGAGGAATGAGTGATCCCTTTTTTTAAATTTACATTGGATCACCGTACATTTCCACAGCACACAATGTGGGTTCTGCAGCCACCGTGGAGAAGGATACGGAGCTTCTCAAAAAAACAAACCTACAGATAGAATGCCCTGCAGCCCACTGGCCCGCTCCGGGGAGTGGTTTTGTGTTTCTAGAGGGGCAGAAGTTGGAGTCGGGGTAAACCCCTGCCAGTTGTTTAAATGCCGCCTGCTGTTTCCTTTTAAGCAAACCTACTAAAGACGGCCTTTCACTTTTCCAGCTCCGAAGGTATGTGAAGCCTGCAAAAATAAAAACGAGGACGACAACGACATAATGGAGACGCTTTGTAAAAATGACTTCGGTGAGTAATACCCCAGCGGCGGTACCAGGCTTCACTGCCAGAGGTTCCATTTACCAGCGAAACCTCAAGGGGCAGGTCTTTACATGTTGCTCGTGACAGATAAAAACTGCAGTGGAGTTCATTTCTCCCAAACTCTTCTCATGGCTCTGTCCTAGGTCTTGCATAACTATCTTGTCTTGAGTTTTATCTTTTTAGGTGAGAGTCTCTGTTCATTTCAGTGGAAAATACTGACAATTAGCCAAATGATCAATTTTCTTAAAGAATCATTTGTTCTTTATTAGTAGTAGTAGTATTATTTGACCAGACAGAAAAAGGGAAAGTGAGAAAGCAAGCCTCCAGGTCCAGGACGTGAACTGTGGTTGGCCATGTGGGAGTCCAGTGCCCCAACCACCATGCCACCTGCCAGCCCCAAATGATCAATTTTCAGTGCCACACTTATTTTTCTCTACAGAAATGCACCATGACTTTCCCGACAACCCAATAAATCTCATTCTAGATTTTTCTTGCCAGCAAGCATAATCTTGAGCCAGTCTCATCATCCGGCAGGTGTACGGAGGGAAGGAATGTGAAAAGTAGCCGTAGCAAAACCAATGTCAGGCTTTACGTTGACCACAAACAAAAATCGACTCTGGGAACCAGCAGTTAGCGTAATGGCTATGTCGCTGGACTCCCACGTAGTCAACCATGGTTCGCGTCCCAGACCCGGTGGCTTAAACTCACGCCAGGTGCGTGTGCGTGCGTGCCCAAGATCCCGAGAGGAGAATGGAGGAGAGGGGATTGTGGCGTGGCCATCCCCCCTGGGGGGTGATTTCTCGCTTTCTATCTCTCTGTCTGTCTCTGTCTGTCTGGCGAGCGCACGCGCACTATAGCAAAAACCTCTCCAAAAAAAAAATCGACTCTGGTACCAAATGGAAAGATCTTTATTCCTAACCGATGATAATTTATTCCTCTATGTTCCATCACTAACGAATGTGTCCACAACACTGGTTAATCATTCGGGGGAGGAGGGCTTAATTAAAAAGGAAAGAATAGTTTGCTGAGAATACAGCTAACCTAGTTGACCTAACAACCTTGAAACATCATCTTAAAAAAATCTCTTTAAGGGACCAGCAGATGGCGTCTTGGTTAAGTCACTGGACTCCTACATAGTTGACCATGGTTTGAGTCCTGGTCCCAGCAGGTTAAAACTCACGCCCGGTGCATGTGCATGCGTGCCCAAGATCCTGAGAGGAGAATGGAAAAGGGATTGCAGTGTGGCCAATCCCCTGGGGGGGTGATTTCTCACTTTCTGTCTCTCTGTCTCTCCAGTAAGTACATGCTCCCTATAGCAAAAATCTCTCCAAAAAAAAAAAATCTTTAAAAGAAGCTTTTTATGAAGTTTTCATGAATACCTCTAGATACACTTGCCACACTTTGGCAAATAATTGTCTTTAAGCTTTGCTAAATTTACTTTAGCAAGATTCATAAAAGATGCTATGATGGGGGCCAGCAGGTGGCGTGGTGGTTAAGGGCACTGGAGTCCCACCCGGTCAGCTGCAGTTCGAGCCCTGGGCCTGGTGGTTTGCTTTCTCACTTTCTGTCTCTCTGTATCTCTCTGGACAAATTACAATAAATAAAGAAGGAAAGTTAACTAAAATAATTTTTTGAAAAAAGATGCTATGAGGACATGATGCTTGGAGATAGCAAAAAAAATGTGTGTTGGGAACCAGCAGTTAGCGTAATGGCTATGTCGCTGGACTCCCACGTAGTCGACCGCAGTTCATGTCCCGGACCCGGTGGCTTAAAACTCACGCCGGGCGCGTGTGCGTGCGTGCCCAGGATCCCGAGAGGGGAATGGAGGAGAAGGGATTGTGGCGTGACCATCCCCCCTGGGGGGGTGATTTCTCGCTTTCTGTCTCTATGTCTCTCTCTGTCTGTCTGGCGAGCGCACGCGCCCTACAGTGAAAATCTCTCCAAAAAAAAAAAAAATGTGTGTTGTGTTCTCCAAGTCCCATAAAGAGTAAGTCAGTCCCTTTAAGAGACCATGATAAGAGGAGAGGGTTGGAGACTACACAAAACTCCACCAGCACCTGATCTGTGGTCCCAGGCTCCCAGGGAGGGGAGGAGCCTGGCTAGACGCGGGATCCGTGCTTGGTCTGGAGCGAGAGTGATCAAGACCGTCACCCTGACTCCCAAGGTGTTCTTGCCCTTTGTGAGTGCAGGCACCGTTTTTGATTTTGGGGTTTTTTTTAGGGAGAGATTTTTGCTGTAGGGCACAGGTGCTTGCCAGAGAGACAGAGGAAAAGTGAGAGGTCACCCCTGGGGGGATTGGCCACGCGACGATCCCTTCTCCAGTCTCCTCTTGGGATTTTGGGCACACGTGCCCGGCGTGAGCTTCAAACCTCTGAATGTGGGACTCAGTCCTGGTCAGCCACGTGGGATTCCAGCACCTTACCCAGTCCTGCGTCTGCTGGCCCCGGGGAAGGCACCTCATGACATCTTAGAGTGGCTGGTACACTTGCGGCTGCTAACTCAGGCAGATGCCCGCTTCCTGGTGAGCAGACGCGGCCCCTGCTCTGTCTCAGCAGACTCTGCCAGGTCCACATTAATATGTTCATACCCAGCCAAGCCCCAGAGACCGGGGAGGTCGCTCCAGCTCGCTCTGTGGTGCCCTCCCATCTCTTTCCCATGTCAGCCCCGAAATCAGACCTGGCTGTGTCCCTGAATCTGGAAACAGTCGGCCATTTCTTGACAGCCACCGTCTCTTCCACCAAGTGTCCTGGGTTTAGCCCTGACTGGTCCCAGAACAACCGCAGCCGCAGTGTTAGGAAAGGGTTCATACTCCTGAGGAAGGGGGGGAAAGGAAGTGGCTCGGGTCCTAAGCAGCCCTTCCCCTCGGGGAGAGCCGCACGTGGGGCTGGGAGGGTTCCGTGTGTCTGTGTTCACGTGCATACAATGCTCAGCATGATAGCGCTGAGCCCGCCTCCCCAGACCTTCCCAAACCCTGGTGCCCAGCTTCTGTGCAATGAGACTTGATTAAGGGCAAGACAGAAAAATGCCACTGAAGGAAAGTGACATGAACACGCTATTGAAATGCGATTTTCCGGGACTGGCAGTTCGCATAATGGCTATGTCGCTGAACTCCCATGTAGCCGACCACGGTTCGAGTCTCAGACCCGGTGGCTTAAACTCTCGCCGGGCATGTGTGCATGCATGCCCAAGATCCCGAGAGGAGAATGGAGAAGAAGGGATTGCGGCATGGCCAGCCCCCCTGGGGGTGATTTCTCGCTTTCTGTCTCTCTGTCTCTCTCTGTCTTTCTGGCTAACACACATGCCCTATAGCAAAAACCTCTCAAAAAAAAAGAATGCGATTTTCCTCTGGTACTTCGGTGTCATTTGTGCTACATGTAACGCAGAGCTCTCTCCTGGCTTCCACGAAAAAGTGGGATGTTGTGTCCCAGGTACCAAAGTAGTTGGATTTAGGAGACACACACACACACACACACACACACATTCCATTTGCCTGATGCCTTATGAAGACCTGAGCAGGAGAGATGGGTGTGTGTGCGTGTTCCCCGTGTTCTCGCCCTTGAGAGAGAGGAAACTTCCTAAACGACATGGAGGTCGGCACACGGAAGAGCTCACACGCGCAGATGCCTTGCCGACACGTGTCCTACCCCCCTCTCCTTCCCACCCACGAAGGGAGAAGGAAGCTGAGTTCCAGGAAGCACGTCGTGTGCTCATGGTTTGTAAGTATTCCGTACTGCCTGCTCCGTGGGGAGCATTGGGGGCAGAAGGGACAAGCGAGGCAGAGTGACAGAGAACGTGTCGTCTGAGCGAGCATCATGTTCTTCCTCGTGGTGGTCCGAAATGCAGCGCACATGTAGAAGGCCTTCCTCCCGGGGGCTGGCGCTGCTCATAGAGAAACTCAGCCCGCCTCCCTGTACGAGTGGTCTGCCTTGGAACCAGCCAGTGTTGTCCTCCCACCTCCTCCTCTGGGGCAGGAAAAGTGATCTGGGGGTTTTGATTCCCTATCTTTGGTCACAGCTGAAAACCCAAACAGAGGAAACGAAGTCTCTAACGTGTCCCCATGGTGAACGTTTGCAAAGCTGGTTATGCTACAGCTCGGGAAGGAGGAGTAAGGCATTTCCTGGTGGCAAGGAATGAGTTATGTGCTCGAGACAAGGTTTCTGAGTGGCGTGGGCAGCCCACTTTCCCGCTGTGGGGCCCTCCCAGCCCCCACCTCTGTGCAGAGGCCACGGGACATGCACCGTTTCCGCCTGGCTAGTCCATGACTTAAATCCCACGAGCTCTGAGATTCAGCACTAAGGTTAGGATGCATCTCACATCAGACAGAACCGTGGTCGGGCAAGTTATAAATCCTCGATAGACCTGGTCGGACACCTGCCGTTTCCTGGTCTACCGGAAGGACAGGCGCAGTCTGAGCCCCTTTCTGGTATTAAGAAAAAATAGAGAAGAAAAGCGTAAAGAATTACACATACACAAAACGTTCTCTATCGCTAATTTATGCATTAAGCTCCACCAAAACCAGGAACTCATCTATACAGAGCAGTTTTCAGTGCTTTTTTAAAAAATTATTTCAGTTAATTTTATTCATCATGATCATTTTTTTTTTTAAGAGGTTTTTGCTATAGGGCGCGTGTGCTCGCCAGACAGAGACAGAGAGATAGAAAGCGAGAAATCACCCCCCAGGGGGGATGACCACACCGCAATCCATTCTCCCCATTCTCCTCTCGGGATCTTGGGCACGCACACACACGCGCCCGGCATGAGTTTTAAGCCACCGGGCCCGGGACGCGAACCGCAGTCAACTACATGGGAGTCCAGCGACATAGCCATTACGCTAACTGCTGGTCCCTCATGATCATTTTTCAATTTGACTACAGAGAAAAAGTGAGGAAGCAAGCCATCAAGTCCAGGACTTGAACCGTGGTTGGCCATGTGGGAGTCCAGTGTCTTACCCAGCACCAAGAGTTTTAAGACACATTGGAGTTAGGCAAGTCAATGGTCCAACCAGGATTAAAAAAAAAAAAAAATCTGATGTTGTCTTAGGGCCGGCAGGTGGTGTGATAGTTAAGACATTGGCTCTCCACATGGCCAGCAATGGTTTGAGTCTTGGACCTACTGGCTTGAAAATCATTCTGGACACATGTGCGTGCATGCCTAATCCCAGGAGACTGAAGGAGAAGGGATTGTGGCGCAGCCATTCCCCCAAGGGGATGATTTCTCACCTTCCCTCTCTCTGTCTGTCCCTCCCTGTCTCTGGCAAGCACACACACCCTATGGCAAAAACAAAACAAAACAAAAAAAAAGAAGAAGAAGAAGAAATTGGCATTGCCTCAAGAGACTCTAGTGGCGTTATGAGAGAGAGTTTGGAGTCTAGAATTCTGAGTTGAATACCACGCTAGGCAAGGACGTTGGAACCTCAGGCAAGTTCCTTGCAGACTCTTCGTATACTAACGAGAGATTTTAACAAGATGACCCCTTCCAGCCTTAAAAAATGCTAGGCTTTTCCTGCCTTCATGGAGTCTTGAAATTTAATTCCAACATGTACCGTCTGTAGAGTGTTCTTTCCCAGAGCACGCTGCCCACGCCTATAAAACGTGCCTTTTCTAGTAAACCACTTACTTTGGGCCTCGCATTCTAATGAGTGGGCACGTACTCTTCGGAAACAATGCATACACGATCCGTAAACGCCTTGGCCTGGGACAGGCCAATGAACGCCTATGAGGATGAGGTCTTCAGAAAAACACTTTTATGGCCAAACATGCTGTGCTCTTAAAAAAAAAAAAGAGTCTTGCATATTTTTTTCTCCTAGTTACTTTACCAAATCAAAAGCAGCTGTAAGATCCATTCTGTTCCCCCCCGTAATCTGTTCTTTAGAAAACAATGATTGTGTGCTACAATTTCCTTACAGGTTTGTCCAAAAACCCCTCTGACATAATAAATTGAGTTTAAAGTTTATGGCCGCAGAAGGATCGGGTTTCACCGAAAGAGTCAGGCCTTTTCTTTTCATGCCGCAGTTTCCAATGGGGGCAGTCATTTGTTGGGGAGAGCAGTTACCACATGCGACAGACTCACAAACACAAGGGCTGGGAAAAGAGGAGGAACGATAATTGAGTCCTGCAAAGAGAAAGAGTTCTAAAAGGGTGGCTGATTTGAAACAAAGTGCCTGCCCAAAGCTTTGAGGCTTTAGAAACAGAGCCACCTGCTGCCCCAGCTCCCACCCCCCTACCTGCAGCCTCTGACAGCCCCTTAGGTCTAGGAAGCTTCTGGCCCGCAGGCCACGCTGCACAGGAACGCAGCAGAATGGCTGGGTGGGCTGGGGAACTCGGTCTGGCTGTGTTCCCTCGTATAACTGGTGCGGTTCTCTCCGCCCCTGTCCCCCTAGCGCTGAAAATCAAAGTGAAGGAAATCACCTACATCAACAGAGACACCAAGATCACCCTGGAGACAAAGAGCAAGACCATTTACAAGCTGAACGGCGTGTCCGAGAGGGACCTGAAGAAGTCCGTGCTGTGGCTCAAAGACAGCTTGCAGTGCACCTGCGAGGAGCTGAATGACATCAACGCACCGTATCTGGTCATGGGACAGAAGCAGGGCGGGGAGCTGGTGATCACGTCGGTAAAGCGGTGGCAGAAGGGGCAGAGGGAGTTCAAGCGAATCTCCCGCAGCATTCGCAAGTTGCAGTGCTAGGGGCCGCGTGGCTCGAGCTGGCTGGCCGGTGCCCTTCCGAAGCACAGTCCCACCGGCTCCCGCCCCGGCCTGGAGAAGCTTCTCCCGCCTTTCACATGTGCATCCCCAGCCTTTTCTGAGTTACGAGGCCCGTAAGAGGTCTCAGGAGTGGATAGCTGTTTTCTCATGAAGGGAAAACTCACCCAACTCTTGTAGAAATCTTCAAACGAACAAAACTCTGAATATTGTTAGGAAGTTTTCAAGCAGCTCACGTGAAAGCTAGCATTGAAGGCGTGCAGCTGAGACTTGGATCTGTTGGGTTTGGGTGGTTCTGTTTGGATGGAACCAGCTGATCTTCACTTGACACTGAGGTTGCCGTAACACCAAATCACCTCACTTTTCTCTGTAACCCCAACTTGGGGGTCACAAACACTGTTGAGATAAAGCTGGCTCTTATCTCAGCATCTTCCTCTGCCCCAGCGTAAGACTCAGTGTCTAAGTATTGTTGACGATGAGTTTGTCATTGTGCATCCTTGTTGCAAACTTAACCGGTGGCCTGTACACGCTCGTACGTGTTTCCAGCTGCAGTGCTTCCATTTATAAAGAGCACATTAACCATTCCTCCTAGCGTGATTTCTTTAAATAAAAGGTAAAACAAATACATTTTATAATCAACCTGAATACTTTAAGCCTTGTTTAAAACATTCTTTTACTTAATTTTTGCAAATTAAACCATTGTAGCTTACCTGTAATATACATAGTAGTTACCTTAAAAAGTTGTACAAATATTGCTTTAGCCAACCTTGTAAATATTTCAGATAAACATTATATTCTTGTATATAAACTTTACATCCTGTTTTACCTATTCCTTGGCTTCTGTCTGATCTTCTTAAAACTAAAAGGAAACTAAGCATCGTGGTCTCTTACTTCCCTGGCCATCAGGCCCAGCCCTCCTGCAGTTCGAAGTTACCTGCTTCCCAAGTGACTCAGAATGTATCTCCCCACTACACCACTTCCCTACAGCCCTGGGCCTCATGTCTTAGACCTCGCCACCACTGAACCTGCAGAAGGCAGGGATTTGCAGGCTCTAGGGAGGGCTAGCTTTTCTCCTCCTTTCTCAGCAGTTGAGAGGCAGCTGTGGCCTCACCGTTTTAAGTTTAAAGTTCAAAAGCTGTCCTGTGCTTTTCATTTTCTGAGATTTTTCTAATGCAAAAGAATAACCATTACAAAAGGTTCATTCCTTCCCTACATAAACTAACCTTCAGAGAGCCAGCCCTGCTTTGGACTAGAAGCAGGCATCCACCACTGAAAGAGCAGGGAAGGGATGGTGGGAAACTAGCATTAGAATAAGGGAGTAAACACAAAATGTGTAAGTCTGCTTGGGGTGCTCTAACAAAATATCTTAAGACTGTGGATATTTATGAACAACCGATATTGATTTCTCACAGTTCTGGAGGCTAGGAAGTCCAACATCAAGGTGCCTATAGAGCCCGTGTCTGATGAGCTTTCTCTGCTTCATCATGGCAGCTTCTTGCTGTGCCCACATATGGCAAAGGGGCAGACAGACTCCCCTGGGCCTATTAAGGCACCAATCCCATTCACAATGGCTCTACCTTCCTGGCTTAATCGCCTCGCAAGGCCCCACCTCTTAACACCGACATATTGGGGGTTAGATTTCGACATATGAGTGTGGTGGCAACTTAGACATTCAGAGCATAGCAATCCTCATCCAGCACTTCATCATTTTATTCCAAAATCTCCACAGGAATTCTGAGGCCCACGAGGAAACTGAGACTCAGGTTAAACAGCCTGACTCATAAGAGGCAGAGCCAGGACTGAAACATAGGCTTGTCAGATGACAAAATGTCTTCTGTTCCACTAATGAGTGGATTATGGAAAAATACTTACCTGCTCAACAAAGATTTACTGCGTGTTTGCCCTGTTCCAGGCCCTGTTCTAGGTGTTCAGGATATGCACACATGAAGGGTCTTTAAAAAGTTCATGGGAGGGCCAGCAAGCAGCATGGTGGTTAAGGTGCTGGAATTCCACATAGTCAACTGTTCAAGTCCTGGACATGGTGGCTTGCCTTCTCACAATCTCTCTCTCTCTCTCTCTCTCTCTCTCTCTCTCGTCAAAGAGAAAGAGAGAAAGCAGCCCCCAGCAGGGTGTAGTGACACCATAATCCTTTTTCCTCCCATCCTCCTTCCCGCCAGGATTTGGGACAAGCACGCATTCACACCTGGTGTGCTTTTCAAGCTACCAGGCCCAACATTCAAGCAACAGTTGGCCACGTGGGGCCCAGCTCCCTAACAGCGGAGCTGCAGGACCAGGCCTACATTAATCAGCTGCGGGGCAGCATTTCCTAAGCACAGAGGATGAAAGCACTACCTAACCACACATGCCAGTCTACTGGAACTCGCAGGATTAAGAACACTCTGTTTCAGAACCAGCAGATGGCGTAATGGTCACATTGCTGGATTCCCACATAGTTGACTGTGGTTTGTGTCCCGGACCCAGTGGCTTAGAACTCCTGCGTGGCATGTGCATGTGTGCTCAAAATCCCAAGAGGAAGATGGAGGCGAGGGGATTGCAGTGTGGCCATCTTCCCCTGGGGGGTGGGGTGATTTCCCACTTTCCGTCTCCCTGGCAAATGTACATGCCCTATAGCAAAATCTCTCTAACAAGAAAAAAGAAAGAAAAGAAAAAAAGAAAAGGAAAGGAAAGGAAAAAGAAGAGAAGAGAGAAAAGAAGAAAAGAGAAAAGAAAAGAAAAAAGAAAAGAAAGAAAAGAGAAAAGGAAAGAAACCATTTATCTAAAAACACCCTCCATTCCTTATTCCCGTCCTCTCATTAGCTGGATTTAGCCACTTCCAGGTGTGGTTAGTGTCAGGTTTCCAATCTTCCTGATAGGATGTTACCTTGAAAGGCAAATCCAGGTGTATGTTTCCCACACACCGTCACTACGTCTGGGTTTTTTTTTTGTTTGTTTTAAGAATTATTTTATTTAACTTTATTTATTTAATTTGACCAGAGAGAGACAGAGTGACAGAGAGAGAGAGGGAAAGTGAGAAAGCAAGCCGCCAGATTCAGGACTTGAACCGCTGTTGGCCATGTGGGAGTCCAGCACCCCTTAACCACCACACCACCTGCTGACCCCTATACCTAGGTTATTGAACAACATGATTTTGTCCATCAAACACGTTGCACAAGTACAAACCAATCCCCCCCCCATTAGGGTGGGTGAACTCTATGTGAGAGATAGACACAGAGAGAGAGAAAGTGAGAAACCACCCCCTGGGATGATGGCCACACTGCGATCCCTTGTCCTCCATTCTCCTCTTGGGATCTTATGCATGCACACATGCGCACATGCCCGGTATGATTTTCAGTCTGCCAGGTCTGGGACTTCCACAGTCAGCCATGTGAAAGTCCAGCACCATAACCACCACACCACCTGCTGGCCCTCAATCCAGTTCATGAACTCCGCACATATTTACCCAGTACCAGCTGAGGACATTGGTTTCTGCATTCAACAAATGCAAGGCGACTTCGAAGTTTATGGGAAAATGGAATCAATGTGGATTTGTCTTGGTATTAAATACATTTGGAAATCCGTGCGTCGTTTCTCCATCATTCATGTTTCCCATGAACTTTCTGAGGACTTGTCATGTACATGGAGGGGTCACCCACATGCTAAGCACGGTTCTAAGAGGTGGACACCCAGTGGTCCTGTCCCCTTCAGTTCACATTCTAGAGTTAGGGACTGTGTTGGCACCAGTGGAATAGGGGTGGGTCCTTCCCCACAGGAGCTCATAGCCCAGTAAGAAAGAGAAGCGTGCAAAGAAATAATTCCGATACTCTGTTCAGAGGAGGTGCGCAGGGGAGCGATGACAGGAGGAGGGAATGGTTACTGAGGGAGAAAACGGAATGTTCAGCTCAAGTCAAGCTCACGGTCATGGCAAAGGGATTTACAAGAAGAGAACTTTTCATGAGTTGCACCAGAGTATCATTCACTAAGACGAAGCCTTAGAGGACTGGCCCTGTGCTGTGTGGTTAAGGGATGTGGTTCCCATATGGCTGACTGCATGGCTCGAATCTCAGCCACGGCAGCTTGAAAAACATGCTGGGGGGGAACCAGCAGTTAGCGTAATGGCTATGTCACTGGACTCCCACGTAGTCGACCACGGTTTGCGTCCCGGACCCGGTGGCTTAAAACTCACGCCAGGCGCATGTGCGTGCGTGCCCAAGATCCCGAGAGGAGAATGGAGGAGAAGGGGTTGCAGCGTGACCATCCCCACTGGGGGGTGATTTCTCGCTTTCTGTCTCTATGTCTCTCTGTCTGTCTGGCGAGCGCACGCGCCCTATAGCGAAAATCTCTCAAAAAAAAGAAAAGAAAAGAAAAGAAAAACATGCTGGATACATGTGTGCACTGCCCCAAACCCTGACAGGACAGAGAAATGGGGAAGGAATGGTGGCGTAACCATACCCACTGGGGCATGTTTTCTGCTTCTCCTCTCACACACCCTCTGCCAAATAAATTTTAAAAACAACACCAAAAAAAAGAAAAAGAAAAAGAAAAAGAGCCTTAGAAATGAGGCATTTATCATCAGTTTTACATAATGACCAATCGGCAATGGTATTCTGCAACTCTAATGCCAAAGATACTGCTCCGAACACTGTGAATAAATCCAGCACGAGACCCATTGCTTTTGTACTCAACAACATTCGAAAATTCTCAATTTACAAAACAAAAAAGAAACCTCAGAAACAAATGATAATTAAACATAATAAAACAAAATGTTTTGTTTTGTTTCAGAGAGATTTTTGCTATAGGGCTCATGTACTCACCAGAGACAAAGTGTGAAACTGTGAAACCACCCCCCGGGGGGATGGCCAGGCCACAATCCCTTTCCCTCCCTTCTTGCTCTGGGATTTTGGGCATGCACGCACAAATGTCCAGTATGAATTACAAACCTCTGGGTCCGGGATTCAAACCGTGGTCAACTATGTGGGAGTCCAGCACCTTAACCACTATGCCACCTGCTTGCCCAAAACAAAAATGTTTTAATATGTAGTCCATAATTGTTCAGAGTGATACAAGTGGGTAAGAGCTTAAAAAAAAAAGTTCAATTAGCGAATGCAAATAGGTCAGCAGGTGGCGTGGAGATTAAGGCACTGGATCCCATATAGCTAGCTTCACTGTTCAAGTCCCAGCCTAGCAGCTTGAAAACCACATCAGGCCCATGTGCATGAGTGTCCAAAATCCCAAGAAGAGAACGGAGAAGAAGAGATTATGGCATGGCCATCCCCCGAGGGGGTGATTTTTCACTTCCCCTCTTTCTCTCTCTCTGTCTCTCAGGTGAGCACATGGGTCCATGGTGGGTGGAGCTTCAACAATAAGTAAATAAACACAGATAGTGTTAAGATAGTGTTAAAAGAACACACGAGAGGCCAGCAGGTGGCATGGTGGTTAAGGTCTGGACCCCCACATGGCTGACTGCGGTTCAAGTCCTGAACCTGGCTGCTTGCTTTCTCACTTTCCATTTCTCTCTCTCTCTCTCTCTCTCTCTCTCGTTAAATTTTAAAAAAAATAATAATAATAGAAAATAAAATAAATATTTTTTAAAAATAAGGACACACGAAAGAATTTAACTGCCACAAAGTGTTCCAATACAGAGTAAGAATAGCTATGGATCTGTTTCATCATGTTATGAAGCCCTGGGGCTTAGTATCAGTAACAGGGTCCCCAACATGATACCCCCAAACACCTGCGCATTCACTCCTGCATACAGGGGCTCTCATGTGCAACCACACGCAAACGCAGCTCCAGCAGAAAATCTCCCGAAACTGTGTAATCTAACCTATC